ACACACCTGTGATCCCAGCCCTTGGGAGGCTGAGGCAGGAGGATCACCCTAAATTTGAGGCCAGCCTGAGCTACATAAGCAGACCCTATCTCCAAACTTAAAAAAATTCAAAGAGCTGGGGATGTAGCTTAGTGTGAAGGCCCTGGTTTCCATCCCCAGCACCACCAAAATAAATAAATAACCCTGACTTATACCACAACATAAATGAACCCTGAAACCATGGTGCCAAGTGACACAAGCCAGACACGACAGATACATGACCTGTGGTCCCATTGACTTAAAATGTCTAGAATAGGTACATCCTAGCCGACGGAAAGCAGATAGTGGTGGAAGTAGAGAACAGGGAATGATTGCTTAACAGGGACAGAGTTTCCATCTGGGGTGATGAAAACATTTTGGAAGCAGATGTGATGGTTGCCCAACGCCATCGAGGCCCTTTGAGTTTGTGTCCTGTGAATTTTCCTAATACATAAATAAATGGTGGGAAGTGAGTTTGTTTATTTATCTATTTACTTTGGGGGGGGGGTTTGTTGTTTTTTGTTTGTTTGTTTGTTTTTGAGACAGGGTCTCACTATATGATCCAAACTGATCTTGAAGAGCCATGTCTGATAATTCACACCTGAAATCCCAGCACTCTGTGAGCCTGAGGCAGGCAGAGCACAAATTCAAGCCCAATCTGGACAATTCAGCAACTTTATGCGACTCCCTATCTCAAAGGTAAAAATTCACTGTGTAACCTAGGCTGGCCTCAAACATTCAGCAATCCTCTTGCCTCAGCCTCCCAAGCGCTGAGATGACAGGTGTGTGCTACCACGGGTGGCTCAATGGAAGTGGATTTAGGGCCTTCCATTTCATAAATTCCTTTCCACAGTTAGGCAAAAGGCAGATTATTATTCCCATTGGAAAGATGGGGGACTGAGGCATAGAGAAAGAAATTGGTCCTCCTAGGGAGGTGGGAAGCCTGCGTGAGACCTGGGATCTATTAGACCTCAGGCTGACTCTACTCCTCTGTCTGAGAAAATACACAGGTGGCAAACACCCACATTGAAGTCGCCACCCGTGGGCACAGGTTACTTCAGAGAGAGGGCAGAGAGCACCACGCAGATCAACCTGGAACTTCTGACCCAGGATAGCCCAGCCAGGGAGGCCAAAAGGTAAGAGGTCCCTGTCCCTTCATGCAGACAGGAAAGTTTGAGTTTTCTCTACTCCCGCCAGTCCTTTGCTGAATGCCCTGACTCCATAGTGTGGCAAATCTTAAAACACTCTCAGTCGTGACGCTGAGATCATCAGGCTGGCCACAGCCAAAAAAACTCCCAACCTCTCAGGGTCAAGACTGAGCCACAGGAAGGAGCCCAGAACTGGGGCAGCCAGCAACAGGAATCCATGGGGGCATAAAGCTGTGATCCCAGCCGCAGCATCACAATTTCAAGGCCAATGTGGGCTGCATAGTGAGTTCAAGGCCAGCTTGGACTGCATAGCAAGACCCCAATCTCATAAAACCTAAAACAGACAAATAAATAGGGAATCTCATTTGCCTTTGGAGGATGTTAAGGGACCCAATCATTATTTTGAAAACTAGCAAAGGAGTCTGGAAATATCAATCAATGGTAGAGCATTTGCATAGCACATAGAAAACTCTGAGATCAATCCCTATACCACTACCACCCCCCCAAAAAAAAAGAAAAAATCAAGGTCTGCATGCTATGCCATATACCTTACAGTCCTAGTGCTTGGATGGCTGAGGCAGGAGGATCACTTGGGTGCAGTTCAAGTCCTCCCTGGGTGGCATAGCAAGATTTGTCTTTAAAACAAGGAGAAAGGCCAAGCATGATGGCTGTAACCCCAGCATTTGAGAGGCTGAGGCAAGAGGATCTGTGCAAAGGATCCTAAGGATCCCAAAGGATCAGTAATGAGTTCAAAGGCAGCCTGGACTACACAGTGAGAACCAGTCTCATAAAAACAATCCCCCCCCAAAATTAAAAGAAGGACAAGGGGGAATGAGAAAAGGAGGAAGAGAGAAAGGGGGGGCTGGGCTGGAGTGTAGCTGAATCTTACACCATGAATGAGGCCTTCAGTTCCATCCCCAGCATGGCAAAAACAAAAAGAAAGCCCTTTGACCTCTGTCACTGTCTTCGGGAGGCTCAGACAACTACAAGCCACTTCCCTGGGGACTGCCAAGGAGAACTGGGACTTGTCACTTTCCCCCACACCATTCTTGCCACCCCCCAACATCCTGCCAGGGGCTCAGCTTAGAGCTCAGAGGATCTGTGCAACATCCCGTGTCCTTGATTACAAAACTCCCTCTTCCCCAACCTTAGAACCAAGTATCTGGAGATTAAATCTCACCCCTGCTCTCCCAGAAATATACATCTGAGGTCAGCTACAGCGAGGGTAGAGGTAGAGGGCTCAGAGGCTCAAACTGTAACTTGCTTCTTCCTTTTGGCAAACTGCGATCAACTAATTCTTAGGCCAGCAGGGAAACTCCAGTTTTGGACAGGTGTCCTTGATGCAGAATGAACTCCTGACTGGGAATCTAGACTCCTGTAGGCTGTGGAACGTTGCCCATAGCCCAGGGTTCTCTTGCTCCAGTCAGCAGGCCTTGTGCTGACTGCCAGGTGCTGGTGCCTGCTGCTAATTCCGATTGGCTGCTGGTCCCTGGAGCTCTTCAGAGTAACAACCCTTCATGTTTATTGCTCTTTCTTTTGAGAGACCGCTCTAACCGTACTGCTTAGGGTAATAATCCCAAGCCAACAGGACTTTTGCAGTCCACACATGAGCAGGTTCACAGTGCCAACTAAG